TTTCGACTCAAGGACACCATCTGCATTGTCGAGGACAAACGTAACTTGCGTTTGGATCTGCTTGCTCCAGTCTTTGAGCCACTGCTCCGGATTCTCTGGCGCTTTTGTGTGGATTGTACCGCATGAATGGATCATTTCTGTGGCTACTTCATTGAAGGATCTCTGTGTCAGTAGACTGCAAAACAAGACAGTCCTCTCGTTTTCTGGTTTGGCTAGCTCATGAGCCACTTCGTTAGCCACAGTTGTCTTTCCAAATCCCGGCCCTCCGGTTATCAGGACAACAGGCACTGTGCCAGTTTGTACAATTTCTTTGACTTCCTTTATTTCTTTCTCACGACCAAACATAAGTTTCTCTGGTACTTTGTCTGGAAGAAAGCTGCAAAGGTTAGAAGTAGCGTCGTCTGACTCGTCATGTTGTTCCACTCTCCTCCACTGTTCGACTTGCTCCGCCACCGCTCGTCGAGTGTCGTGATCGATGGGATCGTCCTTCAGGTCCTGTATTTTCTTTCGGTAGACACTAGCTTCAAGTGACTCTAAAGACGTGGATATCTTGCTCCACTTGTCTTCGAATTCGCCATTAGGAATACCGGTGGAAACACTGTGACACAGCTCATTTCTGAAGCATTTGATTCGGACGATGTTTGCTTCACGACTGACATCACCATCCGCCGGCATTTTGTGCCATCCTATTGTGGGCGCCGTTAGATGACAGATTTCACGAAGCAATAAATGCAACAGTATTATGTCGAACGTTTTCGAGTCTGGTGGATCACCTGAAGTAGGAAATAACTTTTCCCACTGGTCATCAAATATTACACGCCTGGACTTCAGACTCTGAAGCTTGGGAAGATTGTTGTCTAATACGTGGTGTAATGTCGCGGGTGGATGAACAGAATGTAAAACCTTTCTAAGAACCTGTGTTCCTCCGTCAACCAGTAATCGTGCCAGTCTTGTTCCATTTGTCTTTTCTTCCGATACAGCATACACAGATGATCCAGATGCGCCAGCAGAAGAAGCTGCATCGGCAGCTGCCATGTTCTTTATTGCTCTTAAGCTATAAAACCCTTAAAGGTTCTTTGAAATTGTGTGCTGTCTAGATAATTTTTTCCACAAATAGGACGTTTTTAAAGTCGTTATATGCAAACTGAAATTAACTCGTAGGGTCAGAACACATCTTCAATTCAAACCGTGTTCGATCCAGGCAAACGTTTTTATCTTCGTCAACCACCTGCACTAAATTGAAGGATTTTAAAGTACTTTGAACTTTCCAAGAAACCAGGATGTTATCTTTGTCAAACACCTGCACCAACTTGAAGGTTTTGAACTAGTACTTTGAACTTCCCAAGAAACCAGGATGTTTTCCTTAAATTCACAATTAATGAATGCTTCAGGCAACCGTTGGCTATTTTGATTGTTTGCCAAACAGTTAGCGAGACACAAATATTAATGTGTCTAGTTAGGCATTGTCCCCAGCGCTAAATTTGACCTCTATTTTTTTCGCGGCATCAATCATTTTAGCCTTACCTTTTGGTTTTATAGTTTCTTCTATTCTTAGTTAATTGTAAGATAGGAAATGAAATAAACATGCTGAATGGTGTGCCCAGCATCAACCTGTTATTTTCCTAGGGATTTGCCGTGCCTTAATTTTTATGTTGTTTTTTGCGGGAGACTAGACAATATCAGAACAATTATTCTAGGAAATCTCCAGGCTTCCTGAAGCAGGAAACACATATATATTAATTATAAGCTATAATAGTAATTTACCAGCCTTACCTCGTAAGTAATACCTTTTCATTTGACCAAACAGCTCGATTGCATGAAGTTAAGAGTAGTAAATTAGACGATTCCCTATGGTTTATATTAGTGTCTTCTAATGTTTCTTTTTTCCAATTAATCGGTTATATTTGAAAATCATTGCGTCATCAATTGCATATATGAATATTTGAATACTTTGTGGAATCATCTTCAAGCCAAAGCAACTCTTTCCAAGAATATGTGTTGTTTTCAAATCAAATTAAGATATAAATAAAATTGTTCCTCCCTCACGTCTGATAAGTAGAGATTATACAGTACGCAACAAAATGTGAAGGTATTGTTTGTGTAGTGTCTGAAATAAATCTATTTGACAAATCCCTCCTTTCTTGGAAATAGAAGTACGTCACGACAACTTAATCATAAAGTTCTCGATAACAAAGATTTGTGGTTAGAGGTATATACAATATACCGGCCAGCTACTACAGTGAGCGGTATCACCAGTAGTTTCACAGACAAACATTTTGATCTTTTACTGCATGCATACACTGATACGCGGTCAGCTCGGATTCTTTCCCCTTGCAGCGCAAGCTCTCATCGGCTACTTTGAGTTTACGATGAAACTGATGCCCACCAGAAGTCTTTGACCAAACAACATTGGCTTTGTCCATGGCGTTAGAGAGTAGCAGAGCACTGTCACCAGGATAACCGCCAATGCTGACTGACGGCTGTCTGCATCACATTGTATCTACATGCACCATACAGTTTCGAGAAATGCAGTCATTGGGACTGTTTATCCGCTCCACATGGCTTACCGCCAAATGTCTGGCGCGCTGGCACCACATTATTACCAAACGGACAGTAGTCACGGACCACGATTAGTTCTCATAGAGGGTACCACCGTCATATGCACGAACCGATACCTCAGCAGGGACCGTGTTGTAACTGGGCCTCCGATCGCTCAAAAGGGGCGCAGTTATCTGAATGCTGAACTGAACTGAATTTATTTTAGAATTCAAGCGTGATACCGGCTGGCAATAATATCCCATTTCTCCTTTTCCAGGGGTCTATCATATCCTCGTAAAACTATATCCAATTAAAATAATACAACAAAACAAAATGCTAAAACATGTTTCAATGCTGTACTTCTAATTAATTTATTTATTCGATCATTCATTCGTTTTTCTAGTCCCCAGTTTCACTGTTTAAACTCGTGATGAATTAACAAAAACAAACAAACATACAAACAAACAAACAAAACAAGCAAAGCTAAGAAACAACAACAACCACAACAACTAGCGTTATATCTTTACATGACCATAAATACATGCAGTGTTGCAAAAGCTTTTGTAAACTAAAACGACAAACAGAACATTACCGGAAAGAGCGCCTTTGGCATCAACTTAAACTGCTAACCACACACTGGTGAAAATTGCACATAATAATGAGCTATATAGTTAAACTCGCTTATAATAACTCCGTTTATATAGAGCAGTTTTTAGCTGAGTGTCGTAAAACCAAAACTAAAGAAATTGCTCTGGCCAATCACAAAGGACACAGACAATGCAATGAGCCAATCAAAACTGGAACCAAACACAGGTGTCTGACGTGAAGCGCGGGAAAACGTGTGGGAGCGAGTAACGATTGGTTTTGGTTTTAATTCTGATTATATGACAAAGCGGCGCGAGAATTTCAAGCTAATCACCAAGGGTAGTGAAGCAAAAAATGCAAATGCGTATTGCTCTCGACAGCCGAGTGAAAACCATTCTATATAAACCCTTCGAGCCTAAACATTGCAACAGTTCGGTTGTGGCTGTTAATTAGTAGGTTATTGGTAGTAATATCCTGCGAGCAGAGTCTCCTTCGAACGAAGGACTGCTCGTAAGGTATGATATTAAAGAACCTAAAATAAATCAGTGGATCTGGAGAAGTTTTTGCCCTGTATTTCCTAATGATATATAGTCTTACTATTTAAACATAATTGCGAGTTTCTCATAGTTGAGGTGGTCGTCCCCCAAAAAAACATTTTCCGGAAACATGAACATTCAACATCTCTGAGCATTTGCAAAACGTCTTTTGAACCGATTTTGCTCTAATCACTCCTTGATTTACGTTTAAGTTAAGAAATCTGCACACTGGTAGCTATATTTCAACATAGTTGTTTACAGTCCAAAAGTGCTTACAAAATGGATTCAGTTCAGTCCATTTCAATTACAGGAAAGCGAATGCTGGAGAATTTTACACCATTGTCCTGAATATTGTGTCCTTTACCATCTTATACGCCCCTTATACTTAATTAACATTTCTGTGACCGGTGTGTATTCGGGTATTCAACGCAACATCTATGTAGCTCCTTTCGATATACCTCCCCCCCCCCC